TTGCTCAGGCTGGTTTTGAACTCCTGACCTTGAGCAATCCGCTGGCCTCGACCTCCCAGAGTGCTAGGATTAGAGGCGTGAGCCACCGCGCCCAGCCTGTTTTATACATTTCTATGCCTCAGGACCTAACTAAGAGCCAGGGCAGTTAGCATAAACTCAATAAATGTTGGAAAAATAGAAAGCAGACTTTGGAAATCATCTACATGAATGGATGTCAAATACATAATGGAGACTTTTTGACTCTCAGTCCTAGAGTTTAGACATGTCTTGTATTTGAAACCCAATCCACTTCCTAAGAATCCTATTGATCGATTACAAGAGTTCTGACATAAGAAAATGGCTATTTCAACACAGATTTTTCTGACCCTAAAATCTATGCTTTCCCTGATTTTTCATACTGCCTCAACTTTACATGATGAGCCTCCAGGATTAAGAGATAGATTGGCTAAAAGTGATGAGTGCGTGCCCATGCAAGGTCATGTCCATATAATCGGATAATATTTATCTTGGTCCAAGTGGTCAATTCCGGCAGGCAGTTAAATATAGAGTCTCGGGAGAAAAGTATAGGATGGATAAATGGATTTTGGCCAGCGCAGTCTGACACATAGTAAGCTTTCAGTAAATATTTGTTGTATGAGTAAATAAATGAAATGTAAATTTGAGAATCTCTAGCAAATGCAATTGAGGGCATATCCTTCCAGTATTTTTCTATGCCTATATAGTTTTTAAGCAAAATTGGGAATCAGCTTCACAATGTTCTTTGAAAGTCATATTTATTACTGCTGTATTCTTTTGCAAAATTAACATAACTTTATTGTAAAATATTTAGAAAGTAGCTATGAATGCCACCATGTGACCAAAGACAGAACTACAGCATAAATTTAATTGACAAGGGAGAGTACCAAGGAGGTAACATGCAAGTTTCTCAGCCCACAGAGATCTGGCACTTACATCAGGTTCTCCTCTAAGAGGGAACAGGAAGCAAATGAGGAATTGAAAGAGCCAACAGCCCTATATCAGCTAAAGAGAAAGAAGAAATGGAATTATACCATCTTCACCTTTATGACTTTTTTCTAATTATAAAAGCTCCATATACTCACTGAAAAAATTAAAACTAGAAATACAGAGAAGGATTAAAGATGAAGCTATAAATTTCCCATAATAATGTCATCTAGAAATATTCACTTCAAATATTTTAATATTTATCCTTAAAACTGTGTGTGTTTGTGTTTTGCAGGTGTCTTTTTCATGAAACGGTATGTCAGGAACTGCTTTCCATGTCAATGATACATTTCTACATCATATTTTGTAATTCATGACAGCAAAATTTTTCTCATGATTTCAAATTTTCTGGTAGGTAACTACATAAAATAGAAATGCAGAGGGGATTTTTTTTTCTCATCCTGCAATACAGAAATAGCACCATAGTGCATAAATAATGTAAATGTATATAGAATTCAATTATTGCTTTTACAATTCCAAATTAATGGCTGTTTTCTATTTAGTTTGTATAGTAGTCACTTCTTTGCAAGGGAGAATGTTTTAAAGGAACAAACTTGCGAGCTTTTTGTTTTAGGAAAGCAGTATAGAGCCAAAGAAGCATAGAATTTTTGAGTTCCCATTTCAGTATTATTTAAACATCATCTGATGATAATGATGATGATGATGAAGATAATGATGATGACAACACTGATGACAATCATGACTGCAGACCTAACATTATCTGAAGGCCTGTTATATGCCAGGAATTTCATATAGTTTTTTGCACTTACTTCCCATAACCCAGTCTTGTAGGTTATATATGGTTATATTTTCATTTTATAGATGAATGAATCAATTTGACCTCATACTTCTTATAAGCAGAAAATCCAATTCTACCCAGTGCTTTCCCATTATACAGGTTCCACCATTTTACATAATGGATTTCCAGAGCTTAGTAACTGATAATGTCAAATCTTCACAGCATGTGCCCTGTGCCCAACCAGAATCCATTGAGAATTCACTCAACACCATTCCCTGATCATGATAATGATGATGATGATGGTGACAGCAATGACAGTGGCGGAGAAGAAAATTTCTGTCTGATTTAAGAGTCTTATGTCTGGGGAATGCCATGAATAGCCTAGTCTCCAAGAAGGTGGGTGTCCTCCAAGAAAGAGGATAGTGATTTATACAAGGTCATATAACTGTGGGGAGAAGAGCCCAAAGTGGAAAACAGGTTTATCTGACTCTATGGCCATAAATTTAACCACTTTTTGCCTTCCTAAAACTAAGGATTTGAATTTCGTCTTCACCTTATTGCTCAAACAATCCTTTAGTATGTCAGAAATGTGGTAATGTTTCCTCAGATGACAGACAACCTGAAGGGCAAGGCTCATAATTGCATTGCTTCCTCCATCATCAATGTCTTAAAAAGCCATCTTCATACCAATTCACTGCTTGAATGCTTTGGCCCCCAAATCAAGGACTGGGCTTGCAATGCATGGGGGTGTTCAGACAGGAGGAAGTGATATCCCTTTTATCCTGAGTTGTAGGACTACATTTGCAAGTTCTCTTTACCAGGGGTCTCCTGCACTTCTATTCCCTTTCTCCTGAGGCCTGGGCTGACTCAGACATCAGATGCACTGCACCAAGAAGACACAAATCTAAAGTCATTGCAGAAGCACCAAAGGCCAGGGTACATCTGAGGCCCTTCTGGGAGTCTGAGCAAGGTGAGTGAAGAGGGATGGGTGAGATTCTGTGTGCTGTCTAACCCCATTTTTTGCCCCATTGTTTTGGGGGCTACTTCACTGGACTCAGAAGCGTCATCCCTTTTTGCTTCAATCCCATGTTACCTGGTCAGACCAATTCAGACATCTGCTTGCTCAAAGACTGTCCCAACCAATGCTTCCAGTTAGGAGGTTTTGGGGTTTAGCTCCTCTCCTGTGAAATGTACCCCAAATGAAAAGCAGAAACAGAGAGAAAGGCAAAACGCTCTGATCTGCAATGGGACAGTCGCCCTCCTCCAGGTGTCTACCCAGGACAGCCTGGCCATCAGCCTAGGAGGCCTGGTGCCTGCTGGCAGGCTGAAACAGAGAAACCAGTCAGACCTATCCTAGAGAGGAGTGTGGCTTGGGTGAGCCCTTCTACATTCTGCCTGAGTGCCATCTCTCAGAGGGCCAGGGAGATGGATTTATCTTGTCTTGCACAACTGATGCAGTGAGCCTAGACCTTATCTCATTCCAGCCAGAATTGCAATCCGACCAGCATCCATCAGGCTGCCATAACCTTGAAGAATGATCTAGACACATGAAGACCCCACCCCCAATAACATCATACAGTGAAAAAATAAAAACAAAAACAAGGGCACAGAGCTGGCTCGCTGTTTTGTGAGTTAATCACAGAAAGAGGACTTGGGATTTATTTCTGATACATTTTACTCAGATTGGAAGGAGGCAATGCATGGCTAAACCTGGTGTTTAGTCAAGAAAAATGCACCTTATATTATATTCCCTCCTTTGGCTTTTTATCTTGTCTTTAGCAGGAATCTTTTAAATTTTATGTATAGATCTGTCAATCTTTTCCTTTAAAAACTCATACTTAAAGAAATAAACGCTTATGTAGCCTTTCTACTTTTTGAATTTCAGTATGCATTCACCAATATTTCATTATTATTATTTTATGGTTTATATTTGTAATAATGGAAAGCATATTGTATGTACCGGTGGTCCTCATACTTTAGCGTGTACCATAATCATCTGAAAGAGCTTGCAAACTATGCTACTTTTACAGCCCACCTCCATAGTGTGGGTCAGTGAGTCTTCTGAGGGGCCCGTAAATCAGCATTTTCAAAATGTTCCCCAGCTGATTCTGATGCAGGTGATTGATTATGAAAGATACTTTGATAAAACATTTGGAGTACATTCCATACTCTGCCCTGTTTCTTTTTGGCATTGCTTGTCATAACTCTAAGGAAATAAAAAGACTTGTAGCTTAGTAACATAATTTGGACAAACCTACTGATTTTTTAGTAATAATCAAACAAAAGATCAATTAGATATTAAAACATGATGTGCCAGTTAAACACCTACACGTATGTGGGGATATGAGGAAAATAGTCTTTGATTGTTCTATAGGAGAAATAACCCTAACATTTACATAGTAGCCATTCTCCTTCAAGTACATTTATAACATTCTTACTGTCTTTGTAAGTTTTCCCCCCACATTTCTTCAGCGGGGGATGGGATAGAATGAAGGGGGCTGTTCCTCAGATTTATTCTCTGCATCATTTTGTGCAATTTACACATGTCCCCAGAGAGTCTTCTGAACTAGTAAGGCAGGCCTTCCAGGAACCTTCAGGGAGAGATTATCCCGAAAAAGGAGCACAAAACCTCATTCTTTAGACTTACAGCAGCAACTCTGACTACAGCTTGATGTCTTTTGCACAAATTTGTACCCCAGTCCAACTCCCAAATGGACTCATGATGTCTGACTCCTATGGAGAGGAAGGGTCCTGTGATTGAAAACAGAAGGGGCTGTTTTGCTAAGGACTCTGCTAGACATTGTGGCCCGAGCAATCCTACTTCTGTTAAGTGCCATTATAAAGCAGAGAGAGAGAGGCTTTAGAAGACAGAGTGAGAGTTCAACCCACTGGGGACTCCAACTCCGTGGGGTTTTGGCACTAAAGGACTCCATGACACAAGCAGCAGTGGGGCCAGGAGAGAGCAAAGGGCCCAGCAGAAGAGGCAGCAATGCCCAGCAGGCATGGCAGGACCCAGGGGGAGGGCTCAACAGCAGAGGACTGGCATGGAAGCCCCCACCTCTGCCAAGTGGACTTGCTCTTGAGCACAAGTTGAGTTATGCCAGGCCCTCCCTCAGATAATTGGTGGTTCTACACTATAGTGGTTTGAGGGTTCCATATGCACAAGATCCCACCAAGCACAGCTCAGTTACTGCTTCATTTCTTCCTCACAGCACCCCCGTAAATATTTTCCCCATGAAAAGACGGAGTCTTAAACATGTTTATCTGTAATAATTGCCAATTTATTCCTCTGGCTATGAGAACCAGAGGTAATTTGGAGTTTACATTTCTTTTTATGGTTCTTTCATTTAAGAGTTTAGGTGTCCCCAATGCCCTTTATATGCTGGTTGCAAATTATTTGATTGACTCTTACTTATAAAAAAATCCTTAATTCATTTGTGTGTGAGACACGTGTTCATTAAAAAATACATATAAGCAAAAAGCAAAGAAAAAGAAAGAAAACTTCACACCACACAGAAATAAGCATGGTTAAGTTTTTCATATATGTTATATGTATGTATACACACGCACACACACACAATTTGGAATTTTAGCCTACATACGTGAGCTGATACTAAATATGCTTTGTAACCTGTTACGTTTTACTTTACATTATGGAATGAGCATATTTCCATGCATATGTGTGAAACGTCCCAATTGAAAATTAGACCTGGAAAAGGGGTCAAAATCCAAAATCCATTGAGATGCTGGTAACAAGGAAACTACCTAAAACAAAATTTCACCAGATGATTAAAAGTAAAATGAAGGTCAAAGATACATCAGAAAACGCTAAACAGAAAGAAAGCCAGGGCCAGATTTTCTTATCAGGCAAAAATGAATTCAAGGCCTAAAGCACACAGGATAAGGACGGCTGCGAGAGTGTCTTTGCTTCCAATGCATCATCACAAACTTGTTCCTTACTCTTCTTATCTCTTCCCTAAGCCTTTCCAGCTCATCTACTCCTCTTATCATTTCTTCAGGGTCCAAATGCCTAACAGGAGTGTCCTCTTTAAATCCCTGGCCAGGCTGAGTAGGCCCTCCCCTGGGGTTTCCTTCTGCTTCCTGGCTTACACCTTCTTCGGAAGGTTGAGGATTTCCTTCTGCCTCCTGCTCCTGTGGTACATCTTCCGAAGGGCGGTCTTCCTCGACCATTGGCACGTTCTGTGTTTTTCCTTCATTTTCTTCACAAGACTTTTGCATGTTGAGTATTTTTTATTATTTCCTTTTTGAATAAATTAATCCTAGAAAACAAAGAAACAAAACCACTAGGTGCCAGGCAAACAGAGCAGCAGAGAGCATGGGTTCCCATAGCGACTGGCCTTTTCTGATTCAAGTGCCTAATTGTCAAAAGTTTTCCAAGGAGAGAAGGCTAGATTCTCAAGCTCGTAACTCCTCCGACTCCACCTCCTACTCCACCTCCCTTCCCTCCCCTTCTCGTTCCAGCTCCATCTTCTTTCCTCCGGTTCCTGCCCACCATTTTCCCAGCAGGCCCTGCTACAAGCCTCTCCTAGCGCTGAAATGGGAGCAGCGCGGAAGCAATTAACCCTTCCCTCGCCTCTGGCCTCCAACACTCCCGCCCTTTCGGACCTTCCCAAGCCACCCCCACCTCCAGCCTCTCACCTGAGAGGTTGGTCCAGTCCCAGGCCTCCCCTCCCCCTTCCACGTCCCTACAGCCACCCGCCCCCGCCCCATTTCCGCCGCAGGCTCACCACAGGCCTCCGGCGATTAATCCGGGTGGGGAGAGGCTGCGGCGACCCGGGGATGTGCTTCGGTGTCACTCACACTTCCACCCCCACCGAAAAGACCCTGAAGCAATTGCACCTTTACAATGACTGACCTGCAGGGATCCGAGGGATTTTCCTCCTCCTTCCCTCACCTTGTGTCGCGCCCAAAAAACCAAGAGTCCTGCAGACAGACAGGTGGTGCTTGGTGAGCGAGCTAGTACCTGGATTACGGGTCCCTTTCACGTTTCCAGGCCTTGTTGGTTTAAAGTTTCCCACGTCCTCATCCTCTCCCTCCTTTTATGGCCACCCCGCCCTCCCCCGTGCCCATCGTTTCCCTGCAAGCAGGGAGAGGGAGAGGCAAGTTTCTTCCACATTGTTTCTATGTCTCTCTGTCTCAGGACCCTCAATCAGCTACCGTTCTCCCTCTCCACCCCCCATCCGTCACCCCCCACCAAACAGCCCATATTTTCCTGCACAAAATGGGAATTTGGTGGAACGGTAGCATAGGGAAAGCAGCGCCGGCCCCCCTTGCTTTCTGCTCTCGGCCTCCTGGAGCCCAGGGCCTCTAAGTAGGCGCCCACCTTTATACCGACCTGAAAGGATCCGGAGCACTTTCCTCCTTCTCCAGCAATAGGGAGCTGCTACAGGGAAACAGGCCCTGGACTATAAGGACTTCTGCACACGTCGACTCCTGGTCACGTGAGGACCGCGTCATCAATGAGCTCCAGCCCCCAGTGACCCCTCCCATTACCGCCGCAGCCCGCCCCTTGCGTTCCCTCCGCTTGATACTGTCAGTCTTTTTTCGTATTTGCCAATCAGAGACAATAAAACTGGTATCTTCGTTTTGAAGTATCTATTCTCCTTTCTCAGATTACCAGGGAGAATCAACCTTTTAGGGTTAATCGAGACCATTTCTCCTTCTTTGGGAAATCATCTCTTTCTCCTTCTCCCAATATGCCCTTCCCCAACACCCTATAGTTCACTATTTCCCCTGGAATTGTTAAAAATGGGCAGAGGTGGTAGATGGGGACCAGGGGGGCTGGAAAAGAATCTAGGGGTGGGAGTGAGGGATTTTACTAGTCCTCTCGAATATTTTTGTGTTGTGTTCTATGTTTTAAGCAATCAGCGTACTTAAAAAATATTTAAAGGGGGATGCCTCATAAGCAATATTTAACACTTAATATGGAGGACAAATTAGTTATATAAATTTTTAAGACTTAGAAAAGTTTTCTAATGTTGGCAAATGAAATGACAGTGTTCACAACATGTGTTCGAATTTTTATTAAGATCTTACTAAAACAGCATCTTTAAAAACTTGACTCCCAAATTAATCTGTGGAAAGAGGCCTAGTCTTCTCTTGTTAGCAATTTTGCATAAGTAATCCATTACTCTTTCTCTTTATGACTGAAAGAGATAACTCAAATTATCAAGGGTTAGATATCTGACCTTTTTCATTGATGACTGACTTCCACTCAGGTGTCACATGGAGGCTGCAGATAGACCTCTTCCCCTCATGTCCTCTGCAGGATCCAGTACCTGTCAATCAGATGAGTCCACAGAAAAGCCTGCTTTCCACTGAGTGAACTTCTTTTGGAACTCAAAGAAACATGTTTGTTGGGAAACAGTTTGTTGTTGGGAAAGAAATATGTTTGTTTGGAAATAACTCTAATACACTCATTAAACACAAAGGAGACATTTCCCTGTATCTCACCATTGGTCATGAGGTTTATTAGCAGGTAGAATTTTCATTCATTCAGGGCACTCTTGAGATTAGTCTATGTCCTGTTAAAGAAAAAAAAAATAGGACTATTAACATGCATAATTGTTATGACCAGAAAACAGAGAGAACATCATTGCTGTAAAAAAAAAAAAAAATATATATATATATATATATATATATGTTAAAGAGGAAACTGAAATTCCTGCAACTCAGAATCCACTGCTACTTGGAGGTGCAGTGGTTCTTGGAATGGCAACCTGGCCAGAGGATCCACCTGGGGAGTCAGGAAATGGCTGAAGGAGTCTTTTGTCTAGGGTGGTCACAGCAGGATGCCTCAGCCAAGAATAGAGCCCACCAGAGAGAAGGGTTGGAAAAAAAATATTTTTGCTGCCTTAATGTTTTATAAATCATATTTAAACATGAAAAATTTATTCCACAGTTGAGAGATAAATTGTCTATTATTTGAAGGAAAGTTTTTAATATAAATATAGCTAGCAAATGATAAAGATTTAATCATTGCCGACCATCAAATGTTTCCACTTTTTCATATGTAACCATTTAGTGGGGAGAAATTCTGATTTATTTTTTAAAAAATTATTAGCAGCAAAATGGACTTTGTGTGTGTGTACAGTTCTATGAAGTTTAACCAATGTATAAATTTGTATAACCACTAGTACAATCAGAATACAGTTCAATTACCCCAATAAATTCCCTCACATTACCCCTTTGTAGTCATATCTTACCCCTTTCTCTAAACTCTGGCAATCACTGATCTATTCCCCCATTACTATAGTTTTGTCTTTTTCAGAATATTATATAAATGATTTCATACAGTATGTAACATTTTGAGACTGGCTTCTTTCACTCAGCCTACTGGCCTGGACATCCATTTAAGTTGTTGTGTACATCAATAGTTCATTCTTCTCTTTTTGCTGCATAGCATTCTGTTATTTGTATATTCTACAGTGTAGTTACTCATTCACCTGCTGAAGGACATTTGAGTTACTCTGAGTTTTGAGCAATTATGAAATGAGCTACTGTAAACATTCCTGTACAGGTTTAGGCCCTTATTGCTTCACATCTGCCTCCAGCGCTTCCCTCTCCCCCTTCAATCCTCTTTACACATTACTGTCAAATTAAACTTCACTCTTCCTTGCTTTCAACTATCACTGTCCTGCTCAGAGGACCTGGATGGCAACCTTACCACCCACAAAATAAATCCTACATTCCTCCTTTTGCCATTCAACATCCATCTGAATTGAGCCTCAGGGCACACGTCCCAGCCTTATCATATACTTCTCTGCCTCATCCAAAAGAAACCCTCACTCACTGTGTTCCAAGTATGCCTTATACTTCTCTCTCTTGGCCCCTACTTGCCATTTTCCTCCTCCTAATTGCCCTCCTCTTCCTCCTAGATCCTAATTCTGCTCATTCTTAGAGGCCCAGACCTCATCACCCAGCCTCTGAAGCCACCCCAGCCCTAAATGATCTCTCCCTCCCTGTTGCTACTGTACATAGGATCTGCACCCCACATGTAACCCTTAGCAAAGGTTACTTTGTACCTTTCCCCTTTCTTCTGTGTGTGTGTTGGGGTGGGTGGTATCTAACCAGGCAGATGGTGAGATGTGAGCTGAGGGTGGAGAGTGGGAATCAGGCTCCAGCTATCATGCTTCTTTAGTGGCTTAGTAATGATAAACTGTCTCCCAGAAATCTCAGAGTTTCAGAAAGGGCTATTTGCCAATTGGCTCGCAGACAAATGTTTTTGCCCACATAAAAATTGAAACAGAAGTTTCACTGTGCTCTCTTCTGCTTATTCTGCTTATATAGCCACAGAAAACCTAATACTATTTTTATGGAGCTATTGGCAGAGGATAGTGACCCTGTTTTCCTAAATACTCACAAGACAGAGCTCAGTCGGTTCACTGGTTCACACCTGACAAAGAGCCAGGTGATACAAGCCTTCACCTTCATCCTTGTCCCTGGGCAATTTCAGTGTCAGCATTAATATAACACTCAGCTACCTTTGAAATTAAGTTACTCGCTTTAATATAAGTCAATTTTTGAAAATAATAGTATTCTATTAAATTAAAAACTATATTTATTTATTTATTTATTTATTTATTTATTTGCGACAGAGTCTCACTGTGTGGCTAGGCTAGAGTGCTGTGGCGTCAGCCTAGCTCACAGCAACCTCAAACTCCTGGGCTCAAGCGATCCTTCTGCCTCAGCCTCCCGAGTACCTGGGACTACAGGCATGTGCCATCATGCCCGCCTAATTTTTTTCTATATATTTTTAGTTGGCAAATTAATTTCTTTCTATTTTTAGTAGAGACGTGATCTCACTGTTGCTCAGGCTGGTTTCGAACTCCTGACCTTTGAGCAATCCGCCGCCTCGGCCTCTCAGAGTGCTAGGATTACAGGCATGAGCCACCATGCCTGGCCTAAAACTATACTTTTTAAACAGGAAAAAAGGTATACAGATTAATTTTAACAATGAGGACATGAGTTCTAGAAAGTAGAAACTCTGGGCCTCTGAGCCAATCAATGTCCTGTTTTTGTGTACCGAGCAGGCGCTAGAGATAGTTCCAAAGCCCAAAGTCCTCCAAGTTATGTGGGGGGAGGAGAAAGGAGGCAGCATTTTACCATCCAGGAGTAGCCAGAAAGTTCTTATACAAGACTATAGTGTCCAGAATAGCGTTTTCTATGTTCCCTTTGTAAATTACTTCCGTAATCTTGTGTTCTGAGACTCTATAATGAGCAACTCTTGCATATTTTATTGCTGTTTCAGAGCTCATCTCTTAGAAGAACTTGAGCTGACTGTTGTTCTCCATCACTTTTCTAGCATGCTCTGTTTGGCTTGAAAACATCCCTCCCAGCATGGCAAAACCTGCCCAGATCCAAAGGTTTATATCTACATCGTGTGGACTCAGCCTCCATGTGAGATTATTTGCCTCTTCAGAGTGCAAGCAGATTCAGCACATTCTATCACTTTGCATAACTGAGGGGAACCTACCCATGTTTTGGTGCAAGTGGCACACAGAGCCTAGGCTGATTTCCAATTAGATGGATTCTGCTCCAGAAAGAAGAAAACGCTTCTACCTCCTGTCACGTTCCCTGACATAATGGTATGTTCCGCGATTTTGGCACCGATAAGTTTCACAGATTCTGCAAATTATTCAGAATAGCCATTGGCCGTGTTCAGGTAAATGAACTTAACTTGCACCATTTCTATAATACTTATTGTCTCTTCCACATAATTCTGTCCACTGTCTGACCTCACAAGTAAGTGTTGTACACATTGTGGATGATTGTGGCAAGGAGTTTCTAGTTATCCAGGGCACAGTGCTTATGAATTGTACACCTGAAGTGCTCTGTCATAACCAGCAAATGTCCCTGAGTTGGTTTGCTTAGACTTTTAATATGTAACAGTATGCTCAAGATCCACCTCAGCAAGATTCTTGAGATTGCTTCGCTTAAGGCTTGAGGTCTGCATCTATGGTAGAGCATCTTGCTGGGTTGGTGGGAGGCTTGCCTCAGCTGTACCATGGATTGAGCCAGGCACTTTTTTTCCTGTGGTAGAAACATAGCTGTGGGGGACAGCGTGCTGTTGCTGCAGGTCGGGTGCTTTTAAAAAATAAATCTATAATGGAAAGAAAGCTTTTGCTGACCTTTTGACTCTGCATTAGTTGCCTGTGTTATCTCATCTGTTAGGCACTGTTGTAACTTTCACCCTGCTTTGTTGGTTTTCTACTTTGTATCCGGCACTCATCTGGAAGTGACAAAGGACAAAAACAGTATCTGGTTCAACTTTGTAACCACTTAAAGGTTGAAATGTCAAGTTTGGTGGAAATGGTTACAATTTTCATTAATGTAAGAATGGTTAAATAAATTATACATGCTGTGGAAAATTTTCAGATACAGAAAGGAATGAAATTATGCACATATGGTGACATAGAGTTATATTAAAGCTATATTTTTTAGTGATAAAAGTGGCAGAACATTATATAGAGAATAATTACATGCACATACATATATGTATATATTGATGCAACTAGTTTATTAAGTAGTTCTAATTTTTCGGGTATAAACATGAGTTGTTTTATTTTTTCTAGTAACTGTTGTCGGCTGTGATCTGTTAAATTCCCCATTTCTCATTGAATAATGAATTTCTTTTCTTTTTTTTTTTCAAAGTGACTTACAGATTCAATAATGAATTTCTTTAATGACATTTCAGTTTGTTTCCTCAATTATTCAATCACTTTCATTCATTAAGAGTTTTATTTTGAGTTTTTAAGACTCAGTCTGGTCTATTTTTTACACTTTTTATTTTGAAATAATTTTAGTTTTAAAGAACAGCACAAAGAGTTTCCATATACCTTACACACAGTTTTGCCTAATAATTGTGATTCATTTGTGAAAACTAAGAAGCTAATATTTTTGTAATGCTATTAACTAAACAAAAGGCTTTATTAAGATTTCAGCAGGTTTTCCACTAATGTCCTTTTTCTGTTCACAGGATTCAATCCAGGATGCAATGTTGCATTTAGTTTATATGTCTCTTTAGTCAATTTTGTGTCGGTTTCTTAGTCTTTATCTGTTTTTCATGACCTTGACACTTTTTAAAAGTGAGGTATTTTGTAGAATGTTCTTCATTTGGGGTTTTCTGATGTTTTCTTATGATTATTAGATTAGGATTATTGATTTTGGGGAAGAATACCACAAAGGCAAAGTGCTCTTTTTATCTAATGTCAAGGTAATATGATATCAACATGACTCATCATGGGTGATGATGTTAACTTTGATCACTTGGTTAAGGTTGTCTGCTGGGTTTCTCCACTTGTAAAGTTACTATTTTTCCCTTCCACACTCTGTTAGAAGCAAGTTTCTAAGTCTAGCCCGTAATAAAGAGGAAGAGAATTAAACTCTACCTCCTGAAGAGAGGAGTATCAAAGAATTTGTGGATATATGTTTGAAAACAACTGCAGTAATTAGTAAATATTTGGGGGCAGATAATTTAAGACTATACAAATATCTTGTAGGTTTGGCCTGCAGGAATTACTACTGTGATGTTTCGATGGCGATTTTTTTATATCCTTCATTCCTTCCACATTTAATATTTCAAATTATCCTGTAAGAAGGGTTTCCCTTTCTCCTGCACCCCATTTATTTATTAATATAATTATTTGTTTCTATCAGTATGATTCATAGATTTTTTTTAATTCTTTAGGCTATAACCCTATACTATTATTTGTTGTTGTTGCTGTTCAAATTGTTCCAACCTTGGCCATTAGGAGCTCCTAAGGATTGACATTCTTCCGTTCTTTTTCTGTTTCCATGCTTTCTGGCACTATCAGATGTTCCAGGTACATCTTGTATTTTCCTTTTGCCAGCTCCGTGGTCAGCCATTTCTCCAGGAAGTCCTGTTTACTTTTATTAGATAATCATATTTAGTCATTAGATTGGGGTGCTGATTGTGTTGGTTGCTACTCCAGTGTCATTGAGTCTAGGACTTCTCAGCTAATAGAGCAAGGAGATACATTTGTGCATGTATACTAAACTGTATATACTAAACTGTATACAGTTTACATATAATATATTAAAGATTATATACAAAGTATTTTATATATACACATACGTAAATTCATACTGACACATTGACTCTAATCCATTATCACAGATATTCATTTAGCTTTCTCTCCTCTTGCTTATTTTTAACTTCCATCTTTGAAAATGAGAAACCTGGTTCTCCTTATCTACCATTTGTTTATTTATTTAATTCCAGAATATAGATTAACAGTTTAAAAATGGCTACTACATACCCTTATGAGAAATAAATTTCCCAGCCAGAATACAGCATTTATGTACAGTTCTGGCTTGAGCCTTACTTGAGTATCCAGTCAGAACAATGGTTTCCAAGGAAACCTAGGTAAGCACATTTTCCCCCTACCCTTTTCAGTGATGTTATTGTATACAGATGTAATGTAGTGACATTCATTTGCCACAGTATGCTTTCCATTCTGAGTTCCCCCTACAACTTGATATATGTATATATATATATTGTTAATTGACATAAAGCAAAAGTCACCCTTTGTGTCGTGCAGTTCTGTGTAATTTGGCACATTCATAAAGTCATGTGTCTACCACCATAGCACCATACAGAAGAATTCTGTCACCCTAAAATTTTCCTTGTGTGATACTTTTGTAGTCAACCAGTCTCCTCATCCCTAGCCCTGGCGGCTTCGGTTTTATCTCTCTATAAATTAGCCTTGTTATAATGTCATATAAATGGAATCATACAATATACATCCTTCTGAACCTGGCTTCTTTCACTTAGCAAAATACATTTGAGATGCATAAGTGAATCAGTAGTTTGTTCCTTTTAATTACTGAGCAGTATTCCATTGTACCGATGTACCACAGTTTGTTTATATTTTCAATGGTTGTAGAGCATCTGGGATGTTTCCAGTTTGGGGCAATTATGAATAAAGCTGCTATTAACATTCTGTACAGGTTTTTTGTGTGAACATAAGTTTTAAGTTGACTTCTGTAAGTACCTTGAAGTGGGATTGCTGGATTGTGTTTGCAATTGTATGTTTAACTTTATAACAAATTGACAAAATGATCTCTAAACTGTCTATGACATTTTGCATTCCCACTAACAATAAATGAGAATTTCTTTTGCTCTATATCCTCACCAGCATTAGCTATTGTTTCATTTTGTTTTTTGTTTGTTTGTTTGTTCGCTTTATGTCATTCTAAGAAGTATATGGTAGTATCTAGTTGTGGTTTTAATATATATTTCCTTCATTACTAATGATGTTAAGCATTTTCTCATGTGCTTATTTGTTGCCTGCATATATTCTTTGATGAAGTCTCTGTTTGTATCTTTACTTCCCCCACCCCTTTGGGGGGATTATTTTTCTATTGTTGGGTTTTAGGAACCAGTTATTTCTTCCAGATAAAAATATCTTATCAGATATGTGATTTGCAAGTATTTTCTCTAGTCTGTGGCTTGTATTTTCATTCTCACAACACAGCAAAAGCTCTTAATTTTTATGATGCCCAATTTCAAACATTGTTAGCTTTCGGTATTCTGTCTAAGAACTCATCACCAAACCCAAAATCATATGGATTTTTTCCTTTATTTTCCTTTAGAATTGTTATGATTTTACATTTAGGTCTATGATATATTTAAGTTTTTTTGAAACAATTGGAAAGCATTTATGAAATGTGTACATCCTACTATTAAAAAACAAAGTTATAAATTTGCTGGTCCCATAGTTTATTTAACTTGTTTCACTTGAGACAGAGTCATGTCCAATGCCACTCATTGTACCTTCAAGTTTGATGAGCTTGTATGTGCTAAGTATTTTTATTCCACTTCTAAAATCTGATGAGGAATTCAAAATAGCATACAGCATTAAATGACATTTATTGTTCCATAAAACTTGAAACTGAACGAAAGAATGCTAAATAGATAAGCAAAACTCTAAAACAAAAAAGATGAGCTCACTTCTTTCCCTTAAGTTATTTTTTGTATAAGATATTAGGTATCAGTTAAGGTTCATTTTTTGTGGATGAATGCTTAGCTGTCCCAGTGTGATTTGTTGAGTAGACAATTCTTTCTCCATTGAATTACCTTTGTGCATTTGTCAAATATCAGTAGACTGTATTTGCATGAGTTTATTTCTGAGCTCTTTACTCTTTCCATTGATCTCTATAATGTTATTTCTCTGTTACCACACTGTGTTGGGTAATGTAGCTTTAGAGAAAGCCTTGAAATTGGGTAGTGTGTGTCCTCCAACTTTGTTCTTCTTTTTCAGGATGTTTTGGTTATTCTAGTTCCTTTGAATTTGCATGTCAATTCTATAACCAGTTTGTTGATATCTATATAAATGCTTGCTCTTATTTTCAACGGGATATGCACCAAACTGAAGAGTACTGACTTTTTAACAATGTTGACTTTTCCAATCCATGAACATAGATTGTTTCCCTTTTAAAATATCCTTTTTGATTTCTTTTTATTGGTGCTTTATCTTTTTCAGAAAAGAGACCCTGCACATACTTTGTTAAATTTACACTTAAATGATCCATTTTTGGGTAATATTGTTAATGGTATTTTTTAAATTCCAAATTCCAATTGTTCATTTTTGGTATATAGGAAAACAATTGACAAGTTGACCTTGTATCCTGTGACCTTGCTAAATTCACTTAAGGATTCTAGAATCTTTCAAGAATTCTTTAGAATTTTCTACATAAAACAATCATGTTTTTATTTATTTAAATAAAACACAGATAGTTTTATTTCTTCCTTTCCCATATATATGACTTTTACTTATTTTTCTTGCCTTACTTCATGGACTAGGACTTCCATTACTATATCCAATAAGAGTAGTGGGAAATAAAAGGCATTCAAATAGTAAAGGAAGAAGAAAAACTATGTCTATTTGGAGATGATATGATCTTGTCACCATAGACAACCATAAGGAAGACACTAAATCTATTGATCTACAGATTCAATGCAATCCCTATCAGAATTCCAGCTGGACTTTTTTTTTTTTTTAAGAATTTGACAATCTAATTCTAACATTCATATGTAATTGCAAGGGACCCTGAATATCCAAAACAATATTCAAAACCAAACAAGAAAAAACAAAGCAGTGAATATGGTGGAGTCACACTTTTGATTTCAAAACTTACTAAAAAGCACAATAATCAAGACAGTGTGGTACTACCATAAGGATGAACATTTAGATCAATGGAAT